TCTGAACCATTTAATTAACCTTAATTTCTGAAAATCAATTCATGCACTTCAACCTAAACAAAACAATGAATTGAATTGCCTCTCAAAAATGAATCGAATAAAAACCTTCAGTTCATGATATTAATCAGAATGGAGAGAAACAAGAAACCAGGAAACTCGAATTCAAATATAAAATCTACAAACCGATTCTCATGAATGTTGCATTTCGTTGATCCTTGAACTAGATAAACAAAACTACTCCTCCATGGATGGAAGCTCACGAAAAAGAAAAATCTCTAAAAAAACGAGTCCCAAAAAAACGTATTCAAAAAGAAAAACTCTCCCTCTTTTATTCAAATATGACTTTTCAAAAATCCAGCAACAAACTGTAACTTCCTCCTTCAAATTCGTCCAGGAAACGCATCTATTATGATTTGTAATTGATATACCCTTCAATCCACAGATATTAACTTTCAAATGCCACTGGAATGAGTCGAATCAGACATCTGTGGGTCGAGATATGACCCAAACACTGCACTAAGGTCAAGAATCCACGAATTGCGTCTTCCAGCCCAGTTTTGGTCCAATTCTATTTTTGGATGCTATGATTTAGCCTTTAAATCTCTGAGTGTTGTAGGCCCATCTCTTAGCTTTCAAATGCAATGGAATCACTCAAATCCGACAACTATAGCCCGATATATTACCTACACAATAAGCAAAGGTCAAAAGGCTCTAAAATCCAAAAATTAACAAAGTTTAACAATTAAGCCCAATAATATAAAACTCAGCCAAAACAATACAATTAAGCACAATTCACAACTAATTAGGCCTATTACAAAGCTATCACAAGTGTATAAAAATTCATTGATTAAATCTATATTTCAATTAATTATTATTGTTGGACTTATTTATAATATATTTATTATTAATTAATATGATTTTATAGTTACTGTTATTAGATTGAACTATAATAGTAGACTTGACCCATCCTTTTATAAACTAGAGCAACCTTTACTCTTACCATTTTAGAGTAACTATTATTATCCCATTGAGATAAAATGTGTAAAAAAAACATATGTAAGAGAGATAGGATGAATTCTCTATGTTGGTGTGGGAGAATTCTTGCTCAGGAGTTACAACCCAAGAATTTTTATTCTTATTGTCTTGGAATATATCAAGCAACCTATTCCATGCCTCTATTGCCATCGCATCAAGTTCAAGAATAGTATGCAACAAGTCAAATGAGATTTTTGCATAGATCCATTGAAGGACCATAGCATCAAGGGTCGATCACAGTTCTTTGTCTTCATCAAGTGTTGGCACCTTCTCCTTGCCTTTTTTGGTGGGACAATGTGATGGAGAACCTTGTGAGAAAGTGCATAAATTTGTCGTATACTGGACGTTTTCCATCTCTAGGGTGATGGAGATATGGTTCTTAATGTTGGAGACAACAAGAGATGGGTGGAATTTGTTGGAGTCAGTCATGGTGGCTGAGGTGAAAAGAGAGATGACGACTAGAATGAAAATAAGAGTAGTCAAGGGGTGATGAAAGCAAGACAGGATTGTTCCCTAGACTTGTGATACCATGAAAGAATATAATTTCGCGTCCATTTCATTAGCATAATTGTGGTTATATATAACTATTACAAGAGAGATTCTAGGCTATAATTAAGAAAACTAATTTTACATAAGATTACTCCTAAATATTCTAAGTATACAAAATATATTTACATATATTCTAACAATAACTTTATTATTAATGGATATGATTTTATAGTTATTGTTATTGGACCGAGTCATAATCGGTATGCTTGACTCATTCTATTATAAACTAGAGTGACATCTGCTCTTACCATTTAAGAATAGCTATTATTATCCCATTGAAATAAAGTACGTACAAACAAAACATCTGTAAGAGAGATGGGATGAATTCTCTCTATGTTATTTTGATTTTCTCTTATTAATTAAGGAAGTATTCATTCATGAACTCATTAATCTTTACCGTTTTGAGTAATTATAATACCCAGTTTTATTATAACATTTAATTATCACTTGTTATATTAAGAATGAAATTAATTTTTCATCAAGAAATTCTAGCAGTGCCTCGTGTGTACCCTTGCCAAGACTGTTCTCTAACTTAGGGTTAACAATAGTGTCATCCCATGAGTGATCAACGAGGCCCATGAGAAGAAAAGTGTAGCATATTTTAGGGGATCAGTGTAACACCTTTAATTTAATTTAAATAAATAAGGGATTTCACAAATTTTTGGAAATAATAAAACTTCCATTTTTAATCCAAGTTTCATCAAACATTTCAAATAAAGAAAGAGGTTACAAATTACATCAAACAGTCGCTACAGGACTTATTCAAATACAACAATTTTCAAAATAATATCCTAAGTCCTATAGCAGTTCCATCCACTCCTTCACTGAGTCCGGTACTGATCATCTTGATTACCTGAAAAATGAATGTAAGAGTGAGTACTCTATGCTACTCAAAGACACACAGTTAGCATAAAGTCTCACCTCTAGCACATTTTCAATACATTAAACAAATACAATCACAGACAATGTTATCACACAATTCATGTCAATTCAATACCGATGCACTCACGGCATCAGCAACATTTCACATTCAAAAATACAATTAATAATAGTCCTATGCACACGCACGCTAACCACATCCACTGTGGCACTGTGATCACAGATTTTCACCATGAATGGTTGCTGGTTACCCCCGCCTCACGGATACCACATGGGCAGTCACGGGTCGCTCAGCAAAGATAGTGGTCAGATGCCTAGTCAGGAAGAGAGTGTGTAGCCCGTGGTGCATCCGTTCCACAGTTGGTGTCACCACCACTCCCTCTTCCCCAAGGTATTTCTACCGTCCTCGTCTTCCACACCCTAGTGTATCGCTGAATCATTCATAGTACATTATAACGACGCTAACACGCCCCATTCACATACTTTTCATTTACACACGTAATATTCATGCTTTCACACGACACACAACCTACATTCAATTCACAGTACACGATACATAGCCCATATTTTATCCACAATATACGACACATAGCCTTTATTTATTCACAATATTATTAATTCACTAATCAATGACATTCCATCATACACAATTTCCCCCACGAGGCCTAACTATTCTAGCACACCTCACATTGCACACCAATATCCATGAAACACACGATTTCTAGTCCTTATCTCAGCCATATTGCATTAATCAACAAAACACACAAGAATTACAACACATTGAGATAGGGTAGAGTCTCCCCTTATCTTGGATTGAAGACCCACACTCGAATTCGACCACAGATGTACTCCCTACACAGATTGCGGCCTAAAACACATGGAAGAACTCATGAGAACCCAAGGAAACCCATAAACAGAGAATGAGGTTAAAAAACGGAAACCCTAATCATTAAAACTCACCTCCAAGCTTTCCCCACACGGGTTCAACCTTCAATCTAACTTCCGAAGGCAATTTAATCGGTAGAAAAGAGTTTGGGAGTGAAGGAATTAGAGAAATTTCTAAGGAGAAGGGAGAAAATGAAATTTTCCTGAGCCCTAACCCCTTTAAATCCTTTCTGGTCGCGACACTCTCGCTATAGTGAGGTCCTCTTGCTGCAGCGACACGCCCTCACACTGCAGGAAAATCTAAGACGAAATTGCACCCTAGTTTCTATAGAATCTCGCTACAGTGAGACTGCACCAAGAAATGCACCACAAACTGTCGCTTTGTCTCTACAGCGAGATATCTCTCGCTGCAGCGAGAAGGCAACAGTTTTGGTCCTTCCTCCCAGGGCCCTCTCGCTGCAGCGAGAACAGCCCAGAATCACATTCTGCACTTAGGCACTCAACCCATTTTCAACTCAACTAGTCCAAATCCATCAATCATACATCTACACATATATACATATACATATACATATACACACACACATATATATATATATATATATATATATTCATACTCATTCCACATAAGAACACCATTATTACGCATTCAATGCGAATTCACAACATTCATATATACTTGTATACACATATATATACATTCAGATTTATATAAATAACAATAATTAATATTACAAAATTTGGGACGTTACAATCAGAGCCCACAATTATTTTTAATACAATTTTTAAATTAGTTTTATTGAAACTTAAATTTCTTTCTTTTTTCTATCTTTTTTCATAAAAAAGTCAACTTTCAATAACAATGGTGAAATTCTTTTTCTACATATCATGTATTAGTGTGATATAATTTTACTACTACTAATAATAAAATTTAATTAAAAAATATGTTTTGCCATTGTAAGTGGCAAAACTGGGATGACAATGTCTAAAAACACTATAAATTAAAAAATGATTTTGAGAAAAATTATATTTTAATGAATAGTTTAAAATTTTTTATAAAAATAAAAAAGTTGGCAACTTATGTAATATCTTGCAAATTATATAAAACAATTTAATTTAGTTTTCTAGATCATAAAATAGAAAGATAGATGGAAAAAGAAATTAAAATACTTCACTAATAACACTTACAAAACATCTCAATTTTAGTTTAAAAATAAATTTTCAAAATTTAAATTCTGAAAGTTTGGCAATTAATTTTTGAAAGTAAAAATAAAAGTAACTTTTAAAATTTAAATTTTAGAATTCAGTATTTAAAATAAGGTTTCAAAATTAAGTTTCTTAAAACCTATTAAATATACTTTCTTAAAATTAATTTATGAAAAGTTTATTTTTAGAATTAAATTTTTGAAAGCTATCGATGGCGAGACTCTTTATTTATTTAAAATTATTTTTTCTGGTGAGAGATAATGAGAAACTATGCAAATGAAAAACTATTCAAAGCTATTGATAGATAAATTTTTAGTGAAAGTACTTTTGAAAACAAATTATAAAAAATATATGGAGGTGGCTGATAAAAAAAAATTCAAGTGTAAAAAAGTAAGGTCCAACCTTAAACCCTAAAAATATATATATTTTTTTAGTGATGAATAGAGAAAGAAATGGTTACTTTTTTTATCACCGAAAAGGGTGAGTATTGAGCCCAAAACAAAAGGAAAATGGGTTGTGAAAGTGGGTCAATGGGTCGAAGCATTTCTTGGCATAAATCTTGTCTTTATTTCCTCGTTCGGCTTTAGAAACAGCACTGAATTGCTTCTCTATCCCAAAGCTGTGTAACTCTTCTGCCATGTTTTCTCCTCTTCTTTTCTGGCGACAGTGAGAAATCACAAACCTTGCTGCCCTAAGGTCTATTTCTCTGTCTCTTTCTAAGGTTGAGTTTTATTCCTCTACCACCTCTTTCGTTTCGTTTTAAATTTTTTTCAGAGATTGTTTTTGTACTATTATTCTACGTGGATGTGGTTGTACCATTCTTACCGGGAATTGCAATACCATTTTTGTGCTGATTTTTTTTGCTCTGTTTCATTTTGTTTGTGGTAATTGCAGGGGTTTGGCTTGTTTGGTTCATTAATTTCTTCCCTTTTTGCAGTTTCATATCTATTGTAGTCATTAACATTTGGAAAAGTTTATGCTTTTGGCAACTGGGCATCTTTTGATTTTTCAGGAAAGTAAAGGGAGGGAGGGGGCGTTTTGAAAAGAATCGTGCTTCTAAGGGTAATTTTGGAGTGTAGATAGTTACATGGCTGTTCAAACTTTTGTTTTTGTGTTTATAAGCGATGTTGCCTTGTCTTTTATGAGTATGAACTACGAATTTTCTTTTATGTAAAATATTTATGAATTTTTGATTGGCATACACTATTATGTTATTGACTATCCCAAGCATTGATAATGTTGGTGTATGACTTTTGCTTATCAAAGAGTATGTCTTAAGTGTAGGTAACATTTTATTTTTGAGCATTTACATGTGTGCAGTACAAATCCTTTATCTTGCGTCGTTAATATTTGATATAGCAGCCTTATCACTGTCTGCTTTACCATGATAGCATTTTTGAGCTCAGCAGCTTTGTGATGCTCTTTGTGATTGGTAACTACATAGTCTTGGATGGTAAAGTAAAATAACATATTAATAGATTCTTAGTTAAATAACTGTCTGCATTTATGTTTAAAGGAAATTAAATGAATTGAACGCTAATTCTTTCATAATTTTGGTACCTCATGTTTGTGTGTGATTAAAGAAGTTCCTTCACTTTTTCCTTCAAGGCTTGCAATTTGAATTTATATGACCTTCCACTTGAATTCTTCATCTGATCATTACTTTCCTTGAATGAACATTTATAATCATGAAAGCTATGGCAATGTTTTCCTTCAACTGTGTTTCCTTTGTAAGTTGGGTTTTTGGTAGCTTGTAGACAATGTATTTGCTTGTGTTTGTAGTTTCTTTGGAGATTGGACCTCAGTATAATGACACTATTGCTGGTTGCTAAATCAATTGATAATAACATTTAAATCTTAACTATCATTATGCAGGCAAGTTGCATTTAATGTTCATCTACAATGGCAAGATGGGATGCAATCCTCTCTCTTCCAGTTCAAAATCCTCCCACATTGGAATTTTCTGCTGTTGACCTAGTGTGGTCAAAAGTGGAAGGATGGCATGATAAATTAGATAGAGTTGCTCTAATTCCTTTTGCTAGAGTTGATGATTTTGTGAGGGGTGAATCTAATAATAAAGAATGTCCTACAAGATTTCATGTTGAAGCAAGGCGTCGACGGTCTCCATCAATGTCTTTCAAGCCAAAGGTTGATGGGATACTGGAGTATATTTTGTAAGTTGTAACTGTTTTTATTTAGTATCACATATTCTTCTTGTTTGTTGCATTCCAATGCATTGTAGATTTTAATACCATCTCAACATAGGTATTGGTGTTCCTTTGGTCCTGATGACCATAGAAAAGGCGGCATTGTTCGACCAAGCCGTACTACTTACGTTCCAAAGAAAAAAAACGCTGGTCGACCAAATACTAAGAGAGGTTGTACTTGTCACTTTATTGTGAAACGCCTCATAGCTGAACCATCAGTTGCCCTAATCATATATAATGATGATAAGCATGTGGATAAAAAGGGTTTGCCATGCCATGGTCCCCAGGACAAAAAAGCTGCTGGTACACGGGCTATGTTTGCCCCATATATCTCAGAAGATCTCCGACTTCGGGTTTTATCTCTTCTATATGTTGGAGTCTCTGTGGAAACCATTATGCAGAGGCACAATGAATCAGTTGAGAGACAAGGTGGTCCATGTAACCGTGATGACCTTTTGACCCATCGTTATGTTCGACGACAAGAGAGGGCAATCCGTCGTTCTACATATGAGCTACATGATGATGATGCTGTTAGTATCAGCATGTGGGTTGAAAGCCACCAAAATCATGTTTTCTTCTATGAAGATTTCTCTGATTCAGATCCATTTACTTTAGGCATTCAAACTGAGTGGCAGCTGCAACAAATGATCAGATTTGGGAACCGTGGTCTGCTTGCTTCAGATTCAAGATTTGGTACAAATAAATTACAGGTCTGTTACTTCCTTTTTCCCTTGACTTGAAGTAACTGGAAACATGTTTGTTTTTATTTAGTTTCAAAGAAGCTAAACACAAGCCCATTCATAATTCCATCCAGTACCCCATTCACAGTCTTCTAGTGTTCAACTCGGACAAGAAGGCCATTCCTGTGGCTTGGATAATAGCACCAAGGTTTTCAAGTTTGGATGCAAATCGATGGATGAGGGCTCTTTACAATAGAGTTCACACCAAAGATCCTACTTGGAAGTTGGCTGGCTTCATAGTAGATGATCCAATGTATGATGTTCTAGCAATCAGGTTGGTTCAATTTATCTGTTAAGTTAATATTCTTTTAATCTTGATTAAAATATGGAAAAGCATTGCAAAATTTTATTTTTCTTTCAATATTATAGTTTGGGAAATCAGATATCTAATACTTTTATTAATAATTTCTGTCTGTTTATGAAGTAAAAGTCATTTGAATGGGGTTTGGAGGTATTAAGTCATTGGGTAATTTTTCTATTTGCAAAGTGCATAAGGTGGGGACTCCTTGTTTGGGGGAAAGCCTATGTTGTCTCTGCTATTCCCTAATCCAGTCTAAAACACCAGATTTTGTTCCAATAATAAACACAAAAATTCAGTTTATTTGCTCTTAAGATTATCAGATTGTTCTCTCAGATGGTAATAATCAAATCACTATTTCTCCAAAACCATACATGCTCTGTATATTAACAAGCTTAAAGGATGAGTGGGTTGGAGTGAAAATATAGTATAGTCTTTCTTCTTAGTCATGAGATGTGGTGCTTGTGTGCTGTGCGTCTGTGACAATGCTGATGACCAGTCCAAATGCTTGTATAGAAATCTATTTAGCATTCTGAAATCTGAAGTATGAAACCTTGTTATGCTTTACCGTATCAATTCAAGGAATTTATTTTGTCGTAATTCCTAGGGTAACAAGTGTTTATATTCTGTATTTTTCAGGGACGTATTTCAGTGTTCAGTATTGATAAGTTTTTGGCGAGTTCGTCATTTGTGGCATAAAAACATAGTAAAGCGTTTGGAAACTGATATGCAGATAAAGATATCAAAACGGCTTGGGTGGATAGTGGATAATATTTGCCGCCTTCAAGGAAAGATGCCACTTTTTGAAGATTTCATGGAAGACTTCATTGATGAATCCAAATTTATGGACTATTTCAAGGCCACCTGGCATCCTAGAATAGGTTAGTAATATCTAATTGTGGAACATGATGTGATTTTCTTCTGAGATTGAAAAATAACAGTATGCTCACAACCTTTTACAATTGTGATTGTTCTTATTACCCTTCTGCATTAGAAAGGAAGAAAAAATCATCATTTTCTTTGATGCAGCTTGTGCTGGTAAATGCATGAGTTTTCGATTATAAAATTCTGTGTATACATAAAAATTTTATTTTAATTGTAAATAAAATTTTAGTACTGCTTTTCATGACAATTTTAAATTATTATGATAAATTTGTTAATAATTTATAATAACAGTCTAGTATTATTCTTGAAAAAAATATTTATTTTGAGAGTTTAGCTTCTTCCAGACACTTAGACTTATAATATATTTAATAGCATATTAAATAAAGTGATATGAGTGGAAATGTGGGCTTGGACTGTGAGGAAAGGCCCAAGGTGTGGAGAGTATATGTAAGGAGATACCCGGATAAAGGGAGTAAAGATGAGGTGGCAGGGGTTGTAGCAGAATTGCCAAACAGTGAGAAATGAAGATTTGGCATATATGGGGAATGATTAGGAGAGAGAGAAGGAAGCAGATTTTCTGGAAATTCGATTATGTGCAGAGGGCAGTAGCCTCTCTGAAGGAGCTGTGCTCTGTGGCAGTGTGATTATATTTTCTTCTATATTGTTTTTTTTACAGCAAATAATACAATCATTCCCCGATTCTCTCAGTCATTTCTGTTGTCTATTTTTTGGTTTCTAACATAAAGTATTTAATTTTATTAACTAGCAGGGATATAAAAGTTAGTTCTAAGAAAATGTACACACAGAGAGACAGATATATTCGTAATCGAGATAGTAAAACATAATTCATTCATATTGTGGTATACCTGACTATATGGTAAATAACAAACAGTTAATCAATTTGACTGATGCCAAGATATTGTCATGATGATTCTAATGATTTTGCCAAGGGTATATGGTTTTAAAATTGACTTTAACCATGTTCTGAAAACTACATAATTGTACTGGTAGAAGAGATATGTCTAATAATGTGGTGTACTGCTGTGGCCCTTATTTGATGTGCAAAACCACTCAATATTTACATATTAACTATTTCTATTTGATGGAAACTAGGTATCTTATTAAGAAGAATTAGGGATGAACTCTGTCCCCAATTACAAAAAACACACTGCAGAACTTTGAGGTCTGCACCTCCTCCGAATGCCATAAAAGCCCAATTTCCTCTCCCAAATCACCTGCCGTCCCTCTTTAATCTCCCCTGTTATTTATAGGCAACATGCCTTATTCAAACTAACTCATAACTAACTCCTAATGGGGGTTGACTAAGCAATCTATTTAGACAAACTATTAATGGGGGTTGCATACCTAACACTATTTGTGACTGTTGCTGTTATCTTGTACTAATAATCATAGTAGTCAATCTCGAATAGTGGCACGGCTAACCTCAAAAACGCTATTCTGAAGTTTTAATGCAAACACATATATGCTGAAAAATATAAAATTAATATACAAATTTGGAACAAAACAAAAAAGGAAAACTCAAATTAGAGAAAGAAATAAATAACAAAAAGCAAAGGGTGCAGGAGAAGCCGTTGCTTCTACTTGAAGCTTTGAAATTTGAAACAGAACAAAGTAGGAGAATCAAAATAGAGAAAGAAATAGAAAAAACAGAGAGAAAAAGAGAAGAAATGAGAGGAGAGCTGAGGAGAGAGTTGAAAGGTGAGTTGAAGGGCTAGGGGCTGCGAGAGGGAGGGAGAAGATTCAGAAAATAAAGGGGGCTGAAATCCTAAGATTGCCCTCCCCCCTTTTTAAAAGCCCCAAATGTTAAAAAAACAAAGAGCAGATTCAGAATTTTTAAGCAAAATAGAATAGTGGCCGCTATAGCCACGACACTGAACCGCGATGCTACAGGGTTGCCATAGTGGAACTGCGCCGTCCGCTCCGCTACGTTGCAATAGCGGCTGCTATTGATAACTATGCTAATAATATCTGCAGGATTTTATTTGTTGAGTATTTGGCTGTGAATTTAATGTCTATCAAGTTAAATATAAGATCATATTGGTTTTCGGGGATATAATTATAACATGACATTGTTATTGTAAGTTATGTACATTGTTGGAATTATTTTGTCCTTTTGATGCAGGAGCATGGACCAATGCTCTTCAAACTCTTCCTCTTGCTAGCCAAGAGTCCTGTGCAGCAATGGAGTTTTACCACAACCAACTGAAGGTCAGGTTGTTGAATGAGAAAGACATCAGTGTCTATAAGCGTGCTGATTGGTTGGTTGACAAGTTGGGTACAAAAGTCCATGCTTATTTCTGGCTTGATGAGTACACTGGAAAAGATGATTTTGCGCGATATTGGAAAAATGAATGGATTAGTGGTTTGACATCATGGCGCAAAGCACTAAAGATTCCAGATACCAATGTCTTACTGGAAGATGGATGTGCCAAGGTTACTGATCAGCATGATCTAGATAAAGCTTATGTTGTCTGGAATCCTGGTTCAACGTTGAGCATTTGTGATTGTAGTTGGGCACAAGATGGCAACCTTTGTGAACATATCCTGAAAGTTCTTAGTATCTGCCGAAGGAGAGGGTCCATTTTACCATCTATCGGCTTATTTCAGTATCAGCAGGCACTAAATAAGATGTTGCATTGCCCACCTTTTGATTCTTTAATTCGTGATCACGCTGTGTCATTGGCAGTTTCAGTCCAGAAGCAGTTAAATACACTACTCGATAAAGAAGGCATCCAGACTGTTATGGATCCCCATGAGAAACGGATCATTATTGATGTTCAACAAGAAAGCTCCAGGGTAGTCTCAACTAACCAGGATCAGGACTTAGTAAGTCAGATGTGTGTCATCAATGACGTTTTATTACAGGATGGTGATGGCTGTGAGGATAGAAATGAAGGCCCTGGATGTGCAAGCGTGATGAATGATATCGCTGATCATGTAGATCATGGCAGTACTAGAAACAGCAAACCAATTGAGAGCGTTGGAGAGGACAGTTTGACTGCTGACATGGATCTTGACCCACCATCAATTTCTGTTTCCCTTCCCAGATTGCAGTCGGTTGATGAGACTGTTTCAGGTACTGCAATCCAAGAGAACAAAGAGTGGGATTTGTCTACTACAGGAAATGAGATTTCAGCTTCCAATAATTGTGCTGTGTCTAATGATAAGATTGAAGAAAATATTTTAGATACAGGTTGCAAAGATTGTGTTATGGATGTGGATCACCCAGCCTTAGATGACCCCTCTTCAACAACATTGGATGTGAAGCATAGTGAAACACTTGAGAATGGTGTCAATGATGTTCCCAGAGTTTTTTCTTGCACGATAGATGGTGATAGCCACTCGAGTTCTCCATCCACTGCTACAGCTGTTAAGCCACCCGCAATTGATATGGATGAAAATTCAGGTATCATCAAGAAGGATGTGAGTTTGGGATCAAATACATGAAAGAGAGCATAAATCAATACACAGATGACAGTTAGATGTTGATGCCAATAAAGAGTGGGTTAGTGAGACTAATTCTTTTAAAAATTAAAATCTCTTACCCTCAAATATTACATGTCTAGATAATGCTAATAAAGTTCTGCTCTAGTGAGGTTATTAATCTGCTTGAAGCTGTCATAGCACTAACTTTGCTGATAAAACTTCATCACAACAAATTGCTGAGCTGATACTCCCTTCGATTCTTCCTTGTCCTTATCTCCAATTCATCAGTTGATGCATGTGAGATTATATCTATTCTTTTCTCAGTAACGAAAATTGTGCTGATTAGCTAAGCTATTGTACTTGTGTAAATACGAGTCCTAATTTCTATGGAGTTACATTTAATTCACCAAGATATTCTGATTTGTTATGGATAGGAAAGGAATGTCGCTTCTTTCACCCGTTCTTTGGTGGGTTTTTTTTTTTTTTTTTTTTTTTTTTTTTTTTTTTTTTTTATAATAATGAAAACAGAGTATTTAGTGGAGTTATGCCTTGGCTTACACTGTTTGATGTAGTATCAATAGCATTGACCTTGACAATCTTTTCTAGTTAAGTGTTTTTATCATTTCAAATAACAAATATTTTCTGAATAAGAAAATTGAATATTTTATGATAATAATGATGAGTGTAGTAATAATAAAACTAGATATTCTATTGCTTGATCATGGTCCTTTTAGGTTTAGCTCCTTTGTTAATCTGATTTTGTTGGATTTAGCTTCTCTAAAATGTTCAAAGTAATGACTCATTCATGTTGATTTAAAATTATGTTAGTAAAATGTTTAAATTTAAATTAACGACGGACGAGTCTTCATTTTTTTAACTTTACTTTATACAAATAATGCTTGTGTTAAATTGAGTTTTATTTCCTTCCTTCCTCACTGGGGTGGTAATTGTCAAACACAAGATAACATTAACATTAGTGGGGGATTCTTCTCTATATGCAGTCAGATGACACCTTGTTTTTGGTTTCATGGTGTTAGACAACAATCAGGGATATGCAATTATAAATTAAGGATTTAATTGATTCCTTTGTAATTATGATTGATCTCAATGTATTATTATATATACACTTCATGTGTGAACAGTACCTGCGACCACTATATCGCTGTGGTTGCTGTCCCAAATTGTCGTCGCACGTTCCTCCACACGTGGCCTCCTCTCTTCGAAAACAATTTTGTACACAAATTACATATTGAAAATGGTTAATTAGTTTCTAGATGTTATTTTATTTTTTAAATAGGCCCCATTAATTATAAAAACTCGTTTAATTAACAATTCACATGTAAGGATTATAATTTTTTTTTTTGAAATTTAATAAATTTTTAAAAACATGAAATAATCAACCATAATTTTATTATCTAAGTTAAAAAAATGAAAAAAAATAAATCATATTAACGTTCTAATTTTATACTTGATATTTATTTTATTTTCTTAGGACGTAAATGACTTCAAAATTATTCAAATTAATGTCATGTGAAACTTGAAAAAAAAAAGATTGTGATGATGTTTTTTTAATTTTTTTTAAAAGATTAATCTAATATCATAAATTTTAGTGGATAATTTTATTTTAAAATATATTTGAATAAAGAACACTTGTGTTGAGAAGTTTCATTTGTTTTTCTTAACAATTAAATATATTATAAAACTCATAAGTTATGAATAATTCGTACTCGAGATATGTTTTAGTACAAGTGGTTGCAGTTTTGTTTGAATTAGTTGAGATCAAATGTTGTCCCATCCAATTAAAAAAATCTTGCAATTTGATTTAAATCAATTTTAAAATATTATCAAAATTGAATTAATTTATATATATTTCTTTGGATCGATTAATTCAGTTTTTACTTCCCCCCCCCCCCCTCTATTTTTTAAAGAATAATACTTTTTTTTGGGTTAAAGGTGAAAATCCATTAAGTAAAGTACTTAGGAGTAGAGTTCGAAACTAACGCATCAATTATTTTAGTAGTAATTTCATTATTTAAGAATAATTTTTATTAAACAAAAAGAAATTATATATATATACACGTACATATGTATTACAGTATTACATCTCATCATCAACAATAACTTGATTTAAATTATAAATCATATATCAAAATAATTTTGACATTTTTATATTAAAATAGTAATTTATTCAGTTTGTTTCCCTTTGGTTTGATTTTAAATATTAGAAAAAGTGTTGAATACAACCAATTAAAAAAATGCAAATTTTCAGTTTTGAATTTTTATTTTATTAATAGTTTGTCTGCTTTCTAGTCTTTTTGAATTAGAATGAATCGAATTGATTTTTAAACACTCATAACTTGTGTTTGGATGAAAACCTTAAAAATTTTAGAGAATTTAATTTCTTAAAAATAAAATTACATCACTTGAATTTTTATAATTTTAAAATATTTTATTTTAGATAGAGTAATTAATTTTTTTTATTTTAAAATTTTATGTTTGAACGAAGTATATTATCAGTTTGTTTAATTTCATCTTCAACCGTAAGCATTACCACCTTTGAGTATCGTGGAAGAAATGATGAGATGATTAAATTGAAAATGAAGAAGTTGAAAGAGAAAAAGAGCGAATAGAAATAAAAATGCAAATACAAGTTAGTCTATATATATATATATATATATATATATATATTCAAGATTGGTTAATGTGAAATGCAAATTTAAATATTTGTATCTCTTCGTAACTTTTCATACAATGTTAGATTGACTTAATCCAATTATTAATTTGAATGTTTTTATTAAATATATCAAATTTATTAATTTTATTTGAAAATAAATAAAATATTACTTTATTGCGTTACTTTTATTTTAATGTGTAATGTGTTTTTAGAATAAGTAAATATCAACTTTTAGATAATATACATATAATTGTTTAAATTATATGAAATTGATATATATGATCACGAAGATAAATTGATATACATAATCATGAAGATGATATAACATGATTTAATAATTAGATTGATTAATTTTATATTTTATAAAAAATAATTAAAATATATAAAATGTCCAACTTTAACAGCCAATGTTAATGGATCTTGACTCTCTCTATATATGTATATAGACACATATGGAGAGATTTTCTGAGAGAGGGAAAAGGAGATCTATATAAAAACATTAGTGAGAAAGCGTCAAAGTTAAAAAAGATAGTGAGTTCATAATTTTTTTTTTAAATTCTTATTTTTTTGTGTGTAGAGTTTGTAATTTATAATTTTAGTTTATTAAAAATCTTTAAATTTTAAATTTTTTATTGAATATCTAAATAAAGTATACACAATTTTAATTTCATAAAAACTGAATTCTTCATTTTTTTTATAATGATTGAATACTTCATTTTGAAGTCTATGTCCAAACATACTCTCATATTTTAATAATTTTAAATTAAAATTCTATTTGTTTGTAAGTGTTGGTGTTTAAACACGATTTTTACACATACTCACACACGGTTCTCTTTGTTAGAGACTAAGTTTAATATTAATTGATTACGAGAGTAAAATTGAAAGTTATATAGGTACACGCCTCATATGATTGGTTTTTATAGTTAACTAATTATTTAATAAACAACTATTTAACTATCAATAGAATTTTAACTAATTACAACACTCCCTCTTAGTTAAAATTTTGTCTCGCATTTTCTTGAACTTGATACTGTTTAGAGATTTGGTTAGTATGTATGCTTACTACTCCTTAGACCTGTAGAACTCAAGTTCAAGCTTCTATTTGCTTACTTGATCTCTTAAGAAATGAAGCTTTGTTTATATATGTTTACTATTCTCATATGCAATTGAATGCTTTACCAAATCAATAGCTGATCTGTTATCAATCAGTAATCTTATAGGTCTAGTTAATTCCATATTTAGCTCTTTCATCATAGCCTCAAGCCAAACTGATTCACATATTGCCATAACTGCAGAGATATATTCTGCCTCACATATTTATAAAAAAAGCAACAACTCCTTCCTTCTTTTAATACCAATAAATTGGTGCTGACTCAAATTTGAAAACATATCATGAGGTGCTTTTCCTATCCCTTTTCTCTCCACACCAATCTGAGTCACTATAACCATAAACCTCTCTGTCTGTATTCTTCTTATTGTGAGGATTGAAAATTTCCAAATCCAGAGTACCCTTCAAGTACCTTAGAATTCTCTTTGCTGCTTAAAAATGAGAAGTCCTAGGTTGCCTTATAAATCTACTTATCAACCTAACACTATATGCAATATCTGGTCTGGTATTGCATAAATATCTCAGTGACCCCACAATCTACTTGTACAAAATAGGATCTATTACTTCATTTTATTCTAGTTGAAAACAAATTTTAGGCTAAACAAGAGTAATAGCTGAATTACAGTCACTCATATTGAACCTTTCTAAAATATCAACATTTTTCTTCTAGTGTATGAACATTCCTTTACTTGTCTTGACAAATTCAATGCCTAGAAACTATGATAACTCTCCTAAATCTGTCATTTAAAAATCCTACATGATATTTTTCTTAAACTTAACTATATCATCCAAGTTGCTTCTAGTTATCAAGAGATCATCTACATAGAGACAAATGATCAATAAATTGCTCTTATGATTTCTGATATTGATGCCATGCTTAGTAGCGTATTTACTGAATTTCTATTGAATCAAAAAACCACCAATCTTCAAATTCCAAGCTCTTGGAGCTTGTTTAAGGTCATATAAAACCTTCTTCAATGTATTGAATTTTTCTTCTTGTTTGCTTACTACATATCATGGTGGTTGTGTAGTGTAAACTTCTTCTTGTAGAGGACCATTAAGGAATTCTGACTTCACATCAAGTTGATAAATTGGCCCACCTCTATGATTTGCCACAGCTACAATCAATCTCATAGTGTTAAGCCTTGCTACTGGAGTGAACACTTTATTGTAATCTTGACCATACTTTTGTAAAAATCCTCTTGCAACAAGCCTAACCTTGTATCTAGACACCTTTCTGTTTGAATTCATTTTAGTTTTAAAAACTCACTTCACATTAATTGATTTCTTTTCATTTGGTAAATCAACCAATTTTTAAGTCTTATTCTTTTCAATTAACTTTAATTCTTCCTCCATGGCATTTCTCTAATGAACACTCTAACCTTGTATCTAGACACCTTTCTATTTGAATTCATTTTGGTTTTAAAAACTCACTTCACATCAATTGATTTCTTTTCATTTGGTAAATCAACCAATTTTTAAGTCTTATTCTTTTCAATTAACTTTAATTCTTCCTTCATGGCATTTCTCTAATGAACACTCTTCCTCCTGACTTATTGATTCTGATTCAGCAAGCAAGGCAAAATGCACTAATTCTCTCTCTATATTGATTGTTGTATCAGAATAAACTTCATAGTCTCTACTGAATGAGGTGCATGTCTTGTCCTTTGAG